CTAGTTTCTGTTCAACAATATTGTGTTGAACAAGGATTAATGATGTCAAACGGGCATTCAAAATTGGATTAGCAGTTTTAGTGTCTAAAAGAAAATGCCCAACTCAGGAGTCATTCAATAAGTATTTATCTAGCACAAGGTTCTACTTATACATATTAACCAAATAATTAAAATAACACAATTTCAATCTTTTTAAAGAAAGAAGTTTCTGCTTTGAATGTAATTAACTGCATTCTTTACAACTTAAATTCTGAGGGCTCCCTTTGTTACATATTATTTTATTTTTGGGACAAAGAAGGGCTGAATGAAATTATGTAGGTAAATGCTTCTGTTAACTTTTAATAGACATCAACCATTAGGAAACCCAAGAACCACTAACATGCTGTAATCATTTTCAGTACAAAACAAAAATTGATTCACCTGCTTCATAGATGTTAAAGACTACAAATACAAACACAAGAAATTGTGTTTCATGGTTTCACAGACCTCTTTTAATGGTTCAGGGAAAGATTAGAGGTGAAATCAGATTCACTGGAAGTTTCAAAGAATGGCATAAGGAAAGGAAGAGTGTGAGGTCACATTTTCTAGGTTAGAAGGGCTGCCTACTAGCCTGCAAATGCTCCAGAAAAAAAAAACAAAGTGATGTTTGGTTTCATGGAAAATCCTGAAATTTAACCAGTCTCTGAAAAATTATAGAAAATGAAGGTATCTCTTCAGAGAACACATAGAGCGTATTCCTAAATACACTCAACTTGCTAAAACTTTACTATATTTTTGCTTTACTTTATTGTTTTGAAATCTATTATATTATGCTTTGCTAGTAAAATGGTTTTATTGAGAGTTGACAATTGTTTCTGCTTCTAAAGACAGGCATGCATAAGCAATTTCTTCCTGGTTATTTCATTCAATAAGGGTAACTGTCACATTTACTCACTGTACAAATAGAAGATTCCATCTTCTCATTAAAAAACTTTCATAAAATGTGTGAGACACCAGACCATTTACAATCATGGGACATAATTCTATAGATTCAACAATAGGAAATGGTATCAATTCCAATAATAAATTTTGTCCTCATTTATCCTCTCCTCACCCTCCACAAAGCATCACTGGGAGAGAAAAGGAATGAATAAGGATGAAAGGTGGTAAATAGAAAAATAAAAAGAGCCTGGATTTCTGAGCAGATGGACTCAAATCTATGTTCAATCTTTGTTATATGAGAAAAAATAATTCCACATTTATGGAAGCAACTGTAGTGCAACTTTCTGTTGTTTGCAGTTGAACACATCCTTAACTTCCACACTAGGCAGACTATAAACCAAAGTAAACTGGCACAGCTCAATCAATACCAGGAAAAAGTACATAGTTTAAGGCAAATACATTTCTAGGGATAAAAAAGCTATTACATAATAGTAAAATCGGAACAATTCACAGGCAACTATGGTAATTATGAACTCATAATCTGTGTCAATAAGGCAAAAGTTCACAGGATTACTAAAAAAATTAACAAATTCACAATCATACTAATTGACAGGTGAAGCAGAAAACATTAAATAAGAATATAGATAATAGGAACAATCAATTAAAAACTTGATCTAATGGACATATATCAATCCTGCACAAATTCAGGGAATAGAAAATCTTTTTGTGAGCACATCAAAGCTTCATAAAATTGGCTATATACCAGGCTATAGAACAGATTTCAACAGGTATCAGGAATCTGAATCATACATAAAATATCCTTTGACTACAATATGTTACTACGTTACAGATATGAGGTTCTAACAAAAGCAATTTAAAATTTTAACTTTTTTAAAGTTTAATCTTTTAGATTATTTAATTTGTAATAATAATTAAAGCTAAACACATCTAAACAAAAATAACTTTATGGAAAAAATGAAAATTAGAAACTTGTATTAAAGTACACAAGAACTAAAAAAAAGAAACAATATAACATTTTCAGCAGCAGTAAGACCCAATTTATAAAGATGGCTATCAAGTTAACATATAAAAAGTACATTATATTACCAAACAAATTACAGAGAGAAGTTTTTACAGAACTTGATAATCTGATCCTAAAATTGATATGGAAAAACAATGAAAACAATGCTGGGGGCTGGAGTTGTGGGCTCAGTGGTAGAGCGCTTGCCTGGCATGTGTGAGGCCCTGGGCTCATTCTCAGCACCGCATATAAATAAATACAAAATAAAAGTAAATAAAAGATCCGCTGACAACTACAAAAAAAAAAATAAGGTGATGTTACAAATCAAAATTGGAAAAAGATGGACTATTGAACCAATGATACTAGGACAACTGGCTATTCATATGGAAAAAATAAAACTGAACTTTTAATTCTTTCCATATGCAAAATGTAAGTTGTAGGCAGATCTAAGATTTAAATATGAAAAGAAACATTGTAAAACTTTTAGAAGAAATGACAAGAGACATTCAGAGTAGGATAGGGAAGTACTTGTTAAATAAGACAAACAACCACGTACTATCATAGCTTTGAACATATAAAAGTTCTTTACCCAATACTCCATAATTTATAAAGAAATGTCATATTGGAAAAAGAGACTTGCAATCTGTACAAACAATCAAAATTCTAATTAGTAAATAATTAGTAATAGTTACTAATCAAAAACAGTAACCCAGTTTTTTTTTTAAGGTAAAAGATATGAACAGTCAATTCATAGAAGAGGAAACCCAAATGACCAATAAACACATGAAAAGATGTTCAAAAGTGGAAAAATGCAAATTAAAGTCAAAATGAGACACTCCTTCACACCCATCAGATTGGTTAAAAATAAAGTCTGCAAACACCAGATGTTGCCAAGAATGTGTGAAAGTAGGAACTCTTACTGTACAGGTGGGAGTATAAATTGATGTAACTATTTGGGAGAGCAATTTGGCAATACTCTATAAAGTTGAAGGCGTGCTTTCTCTAAAACATAGCAATTCTACATCCGGGTTTAGTAAAACTACACAGTAACCTAAAATTAGATTCAATGCAATTAGCCATTGGCTTTCATCCTCTGCCCAGCCTTAGATTTTTACATGGGATAGGCAAATGTTCCTCACTGCTAAAGGGAAGAGAAAGGCAAGCAGGAGGGGTAGGTCCCTGAGTCTCCAAGATTTTCACAGCCAATCCTCCCTGATCAGGAAAAAAAATTAAAAGCTAACTAAGAAATTCCTAAAATGGCTGTTATTTTGGAAGTCCCTGTTAAACACCAAGACCCAGAATTATTCCTATTAAGATTGAAGTCCAAGCAGACAACCACCAGGTGGCTCCAAATTACAGAGGTAATTTGTAGGGGTCTTGGACATATCAGGAGAGGTTTGGGGAAACTGAACTTAATCAAATCTTACTGAGGCATGTTGAAAGATGTGATTAATGATATGTGCTAGATATAGTAAAAAGGACAACTATAGGAGGTACTAATGAAAAAATGACAAGAGTTAAGTCTGATAAAAATTATGAAAAACAGGATGTCCAAGTACAATGTTACTGATGCAATTAACTATCTGTTGGCTGTTTATTAAAAAAGAACCCCAGCTTTAATTCTATATAAGGACAAAATTCACAATAACTCTGTAGCCACTTATGGGCTATCTACATACACTCAGGGATTTTTCTCCCCTGAGTAATGAAATTAGATAATATTATATTTATGAATTAGTATATTCCTTCAGATATCAATTTCTTTTTTTAACCTAAAAATTTAGCAATAAGGATGGTTGGTAAACCGTAAGTAAGTTCTTCTGTTGGGTGATTTCATTGGAGGACATTGTGGTTATCTTAAATTAGGTAGAAGACCCTGAATATATGCTAAAAAGTTACTCTCCAACTGTTTTGGTTTAGTGGGATACGGTTTCTAAGGTAAAATTCCAAATCTTCACAGCAAATTTTGAGTTACTGTTGATCAAAATGGGTAATATGAGCTTGAAGATCTCATCTGACTATGATACTGGCTAATAGTAGAAAAATATGAGAAGTCCAGAATGTTGTCAGCAGATCCCTTAAAAAAAAAAAAAAAAGGCTTATTTTACTTTGCTGTTTGGGACAGGTTCACCTATAAAAACACCACTTTGCAATGGCCAGA